TTCTGTTTGAGCGCCTGCTCGAACTAGAGAGCGGACACGCCGAGGAACGCGCAGAGCGAGAAAGCCGAACAAACCTGGGCGAGCCCGTGTCACCTCCAGACCTCGAGTTTTACCAAGAATACAGCCGCACGCGCGAGTCACTGGCCTACGACTTCCGCACCGCGCAGCGCGAAGCAGAGGAGCTCTTTTCGCGCTGCATCAACGAGGGCCTGCTGCCCCGCCGCTCCTCCGTCTCCGTCGAATCGGCAAAACACCAGGTCCATGAGCAGATATACCCGCCGCTATACCAGCAGCTCGATATCCAGGAGCCCGTCATTCCTGCGTTGGACCAGCGGCCGCCAGCGGACCGCAAGAACAAGAGAGACGCCATCAACGACTGGCTTTCGGCCGCGCCGGGCCCGCACGAGCAGCAGTCGTTGCCTGTGTCGGGCCCGCCTACGCCGGAACTGCGTAAGCCGCCGCAGTCGTTTTTGAATGAAGTGTAGAATGCAAATCGAGTCTTTTCTTTTGGTGATATTTCATCGTTTTGGACCTGTACTTACTACCCCCTTGGACGGAGTAAAGTATCAACCGAAAAATCAATGTACTTTTTCAATCACGTATTGATGCCAGAGGTCGTTCGTCGCCGTTGCTTGTAGCTCGGTGGGTGGCGCCTAAATTGCCCGAGTGCTGACTGCGTCACGCCGGTAAGAACTTCCCATTGCAGCCTTCTCTGGACGTGTAATACGCCGGGCCCGTCTTTCTGGACCGGAGCTATGTGAATTGCAGTCCACTGTTCCAGACAGGCGCGCCTCGATATTCTTCTCAACTCCTCGTGTCATCCCCAGGCGCGCATTCTTTGTTACAAACTGCGTTCACACGAAGCGGCCCTCGCTGGCGCCCGCAATGTGTCTCTGGATTACGGAACTTGGGTACCATCGCGCCGCACTGCTGGGGTGCTATCGCTACTGCTACCTCCAACCCACAAACTCACACTAACATCATTCCTCCAGCGGACGCGCGCATCAGGCAAAGAAGCGGCGCTCCTGCCGCACATCACGCACGGTTCAAAGGTGCAGACATCCAGACAGGCTTCCCAGCACTTCTCCGCACGGATGTAAGCACAAGGCTGAAGCTTGCCGGCTGGCTGGATGCCGTGTTTGCTACTCGTAGAGCATCGATGCATTAGCGCACGGCTCGGCCCATGGCGTGAAGAATCACTCTCCACCGTGGCTGCGTCGCTGACGAGCGGTGGGTTGGGCGCAAGGCGAAGGTATTGGTCAACAAGTAGTCGGTGGGCGACGAGGCTGGCGACGAGAGCTGACGGGCGGATATGGGTGATGGTTGCGTTTGCTGGCGGAGTGGCTTCTACTGTCTGTGGGAAAGGTGGATGGTAGATGCGCTGCCGCCAGGTGAAGTTGCTTCGGCGCATGATGCTATCTTTGGGTTGAAAGTGCAAGATCCTCTCCAAGAGACCAGCCACGGCCACGGACGACTGCTTGTGGCTTCTACCACTGCTGCAGAGCCGTCTCCCAATCCCACCCAGTCCACACACGAGGAACTCTTTTCTGCGAATCGCATCCGCATGGATGCCACCTCACCATACACACGTGCTCTGCTCGTTGGACATCACGCTGTCTCCAGCGCCTGAATGGCCAGGACGCAAGCACACAGCGGCGCTGGTGAGATGCTTGTGTTTGTGCAGCTGACGCTGTGCGTCTGTCCTGTTGTTGCGCTCTAGCATTTGGAGCCACTTGATATACGGCTGACTGCCGCGACAAGCGGATGGCAGCAGTAAACCAGGCTTTCGGGCCATGCTTGCCGTCTCGAGGTACCGTTGCTGGGTTTGAGGGGGTATTGTACACGCCGTCGAGTTGTCTTGTTGCTCGAAATTGGCCGGATTTGATTCAAGTGCATTGGCTGCACTTACGCTCGAATATTTGGATGGGTTTTCCGAACGGTAAGGCCGGTGCGCATGTTTTGTGGTTGTATCTCCAAGGCGTCCGTCAACACGCTGTAGCATGCCCGCATCTTTCTTTGTCCGCCCTAAGAAGACTATGTGGAGAAGCAGCCTGTCATGCTTTAACATAACTTTCAGCCAGCGGAGTAAATAATCCAACGTGCATCTTCGCCTCCTCGTGGCGCAGCTGGATTCGGCAGTGTAAGCCCTGCGGCACACACATCAGCCGCAGAGGCCTGTTGTTATTTCCTGGATGCGCCAACCGAGAGAAAGCCCAACGCGCGGAGATGTTAGTTTGCACGCCACAATGCGGCCGAGCTAGAGGAGGCATCAGGCCATCATCTAGCCAGCAAGGTGAAGATGCGGCGACGTCCAAGGCTGTGCGGTGCGGCGTGGGATCCAAATCCTCTCGCGACTGCTTTGACTGATGCATGCAGTGACCCACAAACACTGCGCCAACCGCAAGTGCAGGTCAATATGTTCGAAATCCCAACCCCGTATTTGAGCGCAGAGGGCAAACCCTTGCCCGTCCTGGTGGCGCAGTCTCCTGGACCAGTGCTCTCCGGTTCGGGATCCCTGTCCCAATACCAGTGATACCCTCCCCAGCGCAAAACAAGCTTACAGACGAAGCTTTTTGCCCGCGACATACAGGGGACTGCCGGTAACTCTATTTCAATCACCAGAAAATCGTCAGAACGATCCATGCGGACCCGCAAACGACCGGACGCGCGGAAGATGTTCGAAACTTTTGGGACAATGTCACTGCTGCGTAGAGGAAAAGGGAAAACGAATTGGAGAAGCGTGTAGCTTTGCAAAATGTGCGCACTGCGAGTCATCGTGATAGATCAGTATTGGTTAGTTTGTTGCCTTCACTCTTTGAAGCTCCCTTTCTCCTCAGGTCCTCCATATCTTTTGACACTGCTCACACTTTTGCGGCATATCCATTTTGCGACGGAGCCGTCCAAATTTGTGCCTTCATTCGTTCGTCCGCCTTGCTAGTCAGTATAGCTCATGGGAGAGCATGCAGGGGTTCCGCTGTGGTGGATTTGGAAGAGTTCTGGGACGCCTGGTCAGGAACGACAACCACTTCAAGGGATCCAGATTTCATGCACAGCCTGGAAATGTCTCTGCCATCGACAAGCTCTTCGTTCGGAATTAGCCCCGAACACTCCACCTCTGCCTGCAATCCGTCTTGCTTGACGTCTTCCTGACATGCAGTGACAGGCACCAATGGCTTGCGGCCTCCAGAACGGCTGCGCTCCTCTCGAATGCGAAAACACGCGATGGCAAGATGCGCGCGTCTAAATACACGTGGTGCAATCAGAAGAAGGCCAACAAGAGATCGACGCCGCGCCTGTCGGCTAGTCTGCGGCGTCCTTCTGTTTTCAAACACTTGCAGACCAGACAGCGCTGTTGTCTGTGGCACAGCCGTGCAAAAGCGGGGTCCTCCAACGCGCTCGCGTCTTTGCGGATTTGACCTGTCGGGATTGAAAACGCCAACGGCCCTCGCCTCTCTCTATCGGACAGGGCACATGCCTTTTGCGGCGTAGTGCGGCTCTGCTCTGGATCCCAAAATGGCGCAATTCCACAAGGGATAAATAGTGAGGTTTACTTGATGGATTGGAGCGTCCATGGCGCTGAGCAAGCTGTACTCGCCCAACATGATGGCCGATCCTACTCGTGAGTGGGTGCGAGATTCCAACGGGAGATTTTTCATGTATCGATGGAGTTCCGGTAATCAATGCACCCCAGAACGATGACACAGAGGATGACGTTTTCCAGAATCTCAGCAGTGGATCACTGTCTGGCAGAGCCGGTAGGCACGCTTGACTGCAGCCAACTTGGGTGATGGACTCACAACAGATCAAAGGCAACGACACGACTCCGTGCAGTCGATTTCAGCCCAGGTCGCTTTTTCGCTGGAAGAAAGTTGGTGAGCCGCATTCGTGCAACAAGGTGGTTGCTGAGAACATCTGAGAAACCCCTGAGAACCTCGTTCGAGGGACACTAGGAGCAATCGAAGGGCTCGACCCGAGTAAGTTTTGACACCTGCGAGTCCAACGACAGTAACTAATTGTCCAAGGCTACGAGGTGCAAAGGCGGCCTCGACAATTCTTCCATGCTGGTCGAGTGAGCAAACAAACCTGGAAAACTACACTGACCTGCTCACAAGCCGCAGATGTTCTCCGTGCTCTTCACCGAGCCGCTGGGAGAAAACGCCCGAAACGTCGGCGACAACGTGACCACAGTCATTTACGACCAGCGCGTCTTCTCTCAAATTCGGCGCTTCATCGTCGTTCAGCCAAAACAGGGCTTCTGCTACGCAGTGTAAGTAGCCAGGACACACGAAACCTGCACGCATTTGACCTTCGACAGTCCCGTCTCCACATACGGAAACCGCGGCGTCAACAAGCCCGGCGTCGAGCCAGAAGCGCATGCCGTGGTCCATACGACTAGCACGAACCCGGTGTGGCTCCAGGGCGAGCGCGAACGCGGCATGATCAAGGAATCAATCGCAGTGATTCCGGCAAACGACAGTGTTTCCTTGACTCCTGCCTCGCGCATCAACTTTTCGCTTGCCCATCCGATCCAGTACAATGTCAAGGTCAAAGATCTCGGTCGTGTATGCGAGGAAGACATGCCGAATTTTTGTCTGTACTGGCAGACGGAGCGAGACAGGACCTTCTGACCATACGTTCGTTCTTTTGCGCGCCTATACGTACGCCGGGTGGCCTGATTGCTTTGCATTCCTTTGTCTTATTAGTGGATAATGTCTCGTTTTGGTTTTGCAGCACGAGTCGCTCTAGGCTTTTCGTATTTGTTTCGTATGCGCTTCGCTACATGAGGCAGTTTTTAGTTCATCTCGAGTCAACAGATAACATTCCGTGTGCAAAGTTTGATGTTTTTGAGATCAGAATTCGCATCAACCGTATTGTCTGTCCATAGAGGAAGTTTGTACAGCGACTTGAAGACCTTTTGAGACTGCTGGCAGGACTTACCTTTGCGATGCTGCATACATAAAGTACCAGTCCCACAAGTAAAAGTATTAGTCGCAATCCCAGCGTTGGTGGTTTAGTGGTAAAATTCATCGTTGCCATGGAGGACCAATTGATCTACTCAACACAGAGGCCCTTTCAACGTCGATGAGCCCCGGGTTCGATTCCCGGCCGACGCAGTTTCTTTTGCCTTTTGGGACCAACTCACGAGGTTGTGGTGGTGTTTGGGTTGATGTTTTGGTCGGTGGGGAGGCCTGGAAGCGTTTTGGTGAAGCGAGGGTCGTAACTCGGGCAAACGGGCCGATGCCGGCTAGAAAACGCGGCCTAGGCGCATGCCGAGCGTCTACAGATGGGGAGCGGCAGATTGGGCCATTTAGCGCAGTATCGAAGTCGTTGTGTTGAAGTGCTCTCCGTGAGTGAGGCTTGATATGCTGCGCAAGTTTTGCGGTTCGCTGTCGCTTGTTGGCCAGGACTTCAGCATCAATGACGGAATAGATAGCAGTACCGTGTTTTCAATCGCAATTCACCGTCGCCGCTGCGTGTTTCCGATGGACAAGAGGTTAGTATTTCTCGAAGCAATACCGGGCGGAGACCGTGGTGAAGACAAGACAACGGCGAAAGCGCACACATTTCACGGTCACAGCATCCGATGTCCTTCGACATGGCTGACGTCAGAATCCGGTTGCGAGTCGCTCTCGCGTTCCATTCCAAAGCTTAGGTTCTGGAAGCCTGCCGAAAACAAGCAATGAGCCCCGGTTGGGCATGCGATACTGACCATAGAATTCAGATGGTTCACTCGAAGTTCGATGATGCTGCGACGAGTGAAAACCACAAGAAGAGCGAAACCGCCGGCGGGACAAAGTGCTGGCAGAAGATCCATGACGGTTGTTGTTGCTCCGCCCCGTAACAAGGAGTGCTCACGTGATAAGCTGATCTGTGCGCAACATTTCCGGACTAACAGATTTCCCGAGACCGATCAACTCCTAGCCCCGTCAGCCGGATGTCCCCATCTCACAACATCATCGTTACGCCTCATCTGTTCATTCGTTACCGTGTTCATCTTGCGACTGTTTATCAAACGTACGTTTATTCCGTGTGCTTTTCAACTGCGCATCAACTATCCGGGATCCAATCGTCGTGCTGGAGTGTCGGGTTGCCCGCAAGGCTGGTGACTCCTTGCGATTCCCTGGACCGGTCTTTCTCTGGTTGCGTGCCGGCTCGAGATACTCCTCTGGCCCGCACAAACTTCTTGAGCTTGATTCGTTCTCGGAACGTTCGGAGTACCTGTCTAGCTGGTACCTCACCTTGCTCCTCTGTCTGCTTTCTTCCTGGGCTGGCCTTCTCCGGATGTGTGCTGGTTCGAGGGAAACCTCTGGCTCGCACAATCTTCTCGAGCTGGGCTCGCTTGCGGGCAAAGGGCACTGTTGCGACGACCCGGTTAGTGGAGTCAAGGCTGCTCTCAAGCAAACAGCTTGGCAAAGCCTGGGTGGGTGGGATTCCCACGCTGAATCGTGGGGGTTTTTGTACTTTAACAATGTAAATATTTGGAATGTCACGGTTGATTGGCTGCTCTAGATCTGTTTTGTTCGCGCCCTGAGACCCATTACCCTCACGATGGATGGCCGCCCATGCTTTGCCTCCGCTCCACACTTGGATTACGCCAACGAATTTTTGGTAAAATGGCGCGACGCGGAGACGGGACATACACTGTTTCTTGGGCAATTGGCTTCTTCTGGACGTCGCTATGGTGAAGTGTCCATGTGGTTCGCCGACGATGCAGACCAGAAGTGCATGATTGGGTTTTCTCTTCCCTTGAAGATGCGGGTCGCAAACAAGAAAAGGAGAGACATTCATTTCGTCCTGCCTGCGCGTGCCTTTGCGAGCCCAGACAAGCTCTTCTCCATCGATGTCGTGACGGCCCAAGATGATTTGGAAGCAGCCCATGAGTTTCGCAAGGCGGGACTTGGTTCGTCGACCAAGCTTCTCCGATTGTCCTTTGCCCTCCAAGAACACGGCTACGCCATGATGCCCACCGAGCCTTTCTCAAACCCATTGCCTTCGAATTCACGCGGCCTGCTGCTTAGCCTTAAATCGCTTTCACGCAGCACAGCTTTTGAAGTGTATTTGCCGTATCTGGAGTCCGCTGCAGAGTTGCTAGACCGCTTTGCCACCAAACCGCGGAGTCTCCCAGTAGAGTCTCCATCGATTGACCATGCCAAGACATACAGTGGCCGGTCATGGGGAGTTGATGAGTGGTCAGTCTACGGAATCGACAGTGGGGAGGCGATGCCAAACGCGTGGAATCCTGTTGTTGATGACAATCCACCGCCGTACGAAGAAGCAATCCGTGGAAAATCGATAAACCACCCCGAGTCCGGCACGAAACAAAACCCCGACGACTGCTTTGACCCATCCCACGACGAGCTTCGGCAACATTTGAAGTTGCTTGTGGAAGAAGAGCAGGCCCGATTCAACGCAAATGGAGACACCGGATCCATCCCTGACACGGCCAGCTGGAGTTGGAGCGATCACACGGAGACCCCAAGTCCTCCAGCCAAGCGCAAGGCCGAGGCGCTGCAGCTCGAGTCTGAGCAGCCACACAAATGTCGGCCAATCGAAAAGCCCGAGGCTGACAAAATTCGCAACCCACTTTCTCCAGACGGAAAACCGAAGCCCTTCAAACTCGAGAAGAATGCGCTCCACGACAACGAACACGAAGTCTTCATCTCAAAACGCTCATTACTTAATGGAGGACCGAGTCGCAAACTCTTCAGCGACGCCCAATACCGCTGCTTCACCATCGCACTCAATTGGTTCATGACGATATGGCACGAGAGGGCCGACGCACACATCGCCTTTCTGCCAGAACTCAAGAGACTAGCGCAGCTTGCCGGCGAGGCCGACTCGAAGCGTTCCGAGACGATGAAGAGCTTCGAAGACTTTCGCGTGGCTTGCATGCACCTGTTTTGCCAAAACGACCGCCCACCCCAACAGACGCCGTTCCGGCACGATCTTGCCGTCGAGGAGAAGCTGCGATTACTCCACACGTTTGTATATAGGCCCGACGCTGCACTGCCCCCAGGCCGAGACTGCTACGTCTTGGACGACCTGCTTGCGCTGCATGAGGTGGCCAAGGCGTGTAGCTCACGCGAGAAGACGACTTGTGAGCTGGAATTCGCCTTTTACGCGCAAATGTCGACGTGCGTCTTGCTTGTCCTGTACGGTACGGCTCATGGGAACAAGTAAACATCGAAAGAAATGTCAGCAAGTGGACGATTGCAGCCATGGATCCTCGCGCAAAATCGACCGTAGACTTCCTTTTCTGGTCTAACTATTGGATGACTCTTCGCCAAACCTAGACACATCCGGTACTTTGATCATACCCAGCAGCTCATCCTCCTCCTCAAAATCAAACACTTCCTTCCTCAGCGCGCCGGCTCTGTAAGCTTCTTGCAGCGTCCAGCTCTGGTGATCCGTAAACCACCCGACTTTGACAATCTTTGCTTGGCCAGACGACGCATTGACCGTGTCGCTCAGGACTTCAGCAAAGCACCGCAAGCAGCTCTTCAGACCCTCGCCACTACTCGACTTGTCAAGCACCTGCAAGCCGTCGACGATGACGTAAAGCAGAGGCGGGCCGGCAGCCAGGACATCGGCAAGCAGCGCAATCGCTTTCGGCAAGCTCTCTTTCCGCTCATCCAGCCGCGCTATCCTCTCCGTCGACAGATCCACCGCTGTTGCGCCTGTGTACGTTTCCGAATCAAGCTGCTCTGGCAGCATGGCTGCGACCTGGTGAATCAATGCGCCCACCATTTTGAGCACCTCCTCCTCCAGATCGAACGTCTTATAGCGGCTCGCATCGTATGCGCAAAAGTACGACACGACGGGCACGCCGAGGTTGCGCAGAGCGGCGACGATGAATGCCGCTGTTAACGTGTTTTGCGATGGCTGCGCGTCAGGTGCTGGCCCCGCTATCCACAGCGCTTCAGAGACTCCTTTCGAGGCCCAGGACACCAGAGTGTGGTAGATGTTTTGATTGACGGAGAGATAGCGCGACTTGGCGCAAAGGTCTCTGATCTTCTCCGTCTGCACGTGTCGTCCCAGATGCTCAGTTGCTTCTTGGATTGTTTTGGTACTCCAGTAGGGTTTAAAGTCCGCGGAGCTTTCTGGATAATCGATCTTGGGCGAAGGATACTCGACACCTTCTTGCTCAGGTTGAGAAGCTTGATCTGTCCCAGAAGCTTCGGCACTTGGCTGTATTTGCAATCTTTCAGGAGGCGCCGCGACCGGCGGCGGAAGTGGTGAATGTGCTGCTCTCGACCTCGGACTATCAATCGCTTGTCCAACCAGCCCCGCTTGGCAATGAGCCCCCAAATTCAAACGCACGACGTTGAGCCACATTTTGTTGGTCACGTTATTGGCCTCCTTTTCCGCCTGCTCCGTGTGGTACCTCAACTTATCCATGGAATTCCGTATTTCGGTCTGAAGCGAATCTCCGAGGATGCTTTTCAAGCGCTGTGTCGGCGAGCGGTACCACTCGTCCAAAAGCTTGGCCAGGAGTTTGAACAGAGCGCAGTAGTAGCACACAATGTGCCGCTTGATGTACTCCGAGTCTGGAGCGTCGCAGGCAGATTTGTACAGTGTGCGCACTTGATCTGATGCCCTTCCTAGGCACTCTGAAATCTTTTCTCCTGTGCTTCCGTGGGTTTGTGCGGCCTGATGGAATTAGTTGATTCTGGTGGAAAAAGGGGAGTTGTACAAACCTTGACACACGCGGTGAATGCACCAGCGAACACGGAGGAATATTTGTCGTCCTTTGGAAGCATCTGAAAGAGGTACTCGTACTGCCCCAGCGTGTCGAGGACTTTGACTACCCAGCTTCTTGCCTTGCCTCGTACTGTTTCTTTGCTCTTTTCCATTTCCTTGTTCGACTCATCGAGCAACTTGCGCAGCTGTTCCATACTGGGCCTTTCATATTCGTCACGGCCAAAGATGTGTCTTTTTCTTTCTTTCTTTTTGTTGACATATTTGAGCACCCTTTTCCAGGACTTTTCGAGTTCTTGAGATATCTCATCTACGTCGCTGACCCAGTCAAAGACGTCGTAGCTGCGCCAAGGTCAGCCTATACCTGGAATCTTGTATGGATAGTCCTACTATCTGTTTTCTCCAAATTTGTCAT